ATTGAGAATAGTGTGTGGACGCCAGATCAGTTCATCATAAGAGTAGTGGTTCCTAACTAACAAGGGAAGGATACTTACTAAGATTCGCCTTTTGAGATGAGAGACATATATTTGGTATCAGCTTTGAACGCTGATTCCAAATATGCTGTACTAGCTGCTGTGCGTCATTCTGAAACAAGTTATGGTCTCATTTATGTGCAAAATTTGCGTGCTCGTCTACTTAATGATGTCACGTTTTCAACTTCTAAGTGATTCAATATCATAATGCTCCCTTTCAAGATCGCCAAACTGATGCTATTTCAACATCCCAGCACTTAGTTTGAGCAGATCCCATCTAGAAAGCGAGTTACCATGTTTAGAAATATGTCAATTATTCACAGTAGCTCATAACCCGCTTCAGAATGACACTCAGCAACTAGGAACAACACATTTGGAATGAGCGTTCCAAGTCGATTCCAAATATATGTGTCTCATATTAAAAGACGAATCTAGGTTCAGTATCCTCCCCTTGTTAGATATCGAAGCTATCATCGTTGTCTCATAGCAGGAGCTGGAAGAAGTGCACATTCCAACAATTTTTTTGTGGCTGGGCGAACTATCACTATGTCTTTGCGTAGTGTGAAACCATTTACCAAAACTTATTCCAATCAGACTGCGCAGCTTAGGGACCATCATCAGCGGGAAAGGACCAGTAATGATCTTCCACTGTCATCGATCATAACCACCTCACACAGCCACAGCACAGACACATTGCTAAGCTATGTGAATGTTTGCGTAGTGGGGCGAAAGCTAGTTTCGTCTGCACCTTGCGCTCGCCTCACTCGTGTGCTGGGTAACGGCGGCCGAATCTTCGAAATTGGCTGCATCCAGAGACCCATCGCTGTCTCGAAATCCTCTATAGAATGAAGGGGCGAAGCGGAGACGTGATCCAAGAGTTCCATGCACTCGAGACTTTCGCTTCATGTTTACAATCACAGCTACTGAAGTACCTACTCCAGAATTCGGAAAAGTGGACATTGCTGTGTAACAGTAAACCAGGAAATCTGATTGTACCTATAACTATCGCACCCAATCAGATGATAGCTGCCGGATCGATGACGATGATGGGCTGGGATATCGCGAAATAGCGCTGAGTAAACAGCAGCAGCGCCGATCAGACATAACCAGCTGTGTAGCGAAGAGATGCTAGCTACTGGATCGAGAGCTGAGTTACGTCATAATATCGGGCTGGCCATTCGCGACGGGGTTAGCGTTGTGTCGAAAACCACCCGCAACTTCTTTTACGAAAGTTTCTTTTTGCAGTCCACCATCTAAATTCCATTGACATTATTTCATGTTCATCCTAAGATCATGCGGCGCTAGTTAAGACGGTATTTTTCGAGGTCCGCTCCTTCATTAGCCGAGCATCTTCGTTCACCCGCATTCATGCATTTGCCGTATCGCCTCTCGTTTGCTCTTGAGTTCCAAGTCACCCTACAGCACCGGTGTGCGGCTCGCATCCACAAGATTAACCGTTTAAAGATGTATATTTATGCTCCCATTGTATGTTGTCCAAAGAGTGTCCACTCACGGCGACACTTGTGTTCGAACAAAGGATGCTCCTCCATTCGAGCGACAATGTTCATAAAACCGCTTAAGCTATGTGTTCCCATCTGCTAAATCATATCCCTTATCGATATTACATCAAAACAGATTTCATAGGTAGAGAAGTTGTGATTTAGTGACGCGCTTTCGTGTTCGCATTAGAACATTTTGTAGGATTTATGAATTAGTTCTGCATCGACTTCATTCTCTCCATTTCGTTTTTATTCCCTGGTGACTATCGTGAAACTAGGTAGCCCCTGCTTTTCAAACCTAATTGTTTTAGTAGCTTTGAAAACATGCCCAGTCATCGCCACAACGTTACAACTAGCACTTATTTCCAGGCGTAACGAACGCTCAAATATCTTTGCTGCCCTACCTACGCACATGCTGTTGTAAAGCACTTGATATTCAATACAAGAACTACAAGAACCGCCAGCCGCGAGCTTTTCAGAAAATCGAGAAAACCCGACCGATCAAGTGCAGAGCTGTCGCGATGCACATGTGTGACAGCTGATCTGTACAAGTGGTCTTCGCTGGGGCCCAAACTTGCCGGAAAGCTTGCACACTCGATGCTCAGCGGATCGAAGTGCTACATTTTGGTGATATTTGCTCATTTGAAAAGAAATGACAGATCGCGATTGTTGCTTTGCGCTTGGAGAAGCTCGGGGCTTTCGTTGAGCACAGCGTGCGACAGTTGGCCGGGCGGCTGTCAGCTCGGTGTTGACTCTCAAACCTCCCACTCTCCCTCAATCGCCGAAGTGCTCTGAACGCTTCCAGCGCCCGAGGTGCGATCGGTTCCAAATTCAAAGCTTCTGGCCAGTCGCTCACCTTTCACTTTTACTCATCTTGCATGATGCTCCTCTCGCTACGATGCCTCTGTGAATTTGAACATGAGTACTTACTCGGACTCTTTATTTCCAGGCTCTTCTTATACCCAGCAGGGACATTTGTGTGCAGTGTGCAGTGTGCAGTGTTTGTAACGTTCACATAGGTGAGTACATAAAACTTCACCGTAATCTTCAGATAAAAATCGATAATCATAGCATCATTCATAAGTCGTTTACAATAATCAATAGTTTTGCATGTTTACTTTTGAAGATCACAATGTAGCGTTACCAGAAGAAGTGCTTGAGTAACGTCAAATTGAAATTCTGATTTTATGTAAACTTTAAGAAAAGCTCGAAGTAATGCGCCGCTAGAGTTATCTTATTGCCTTTATTTCGACGATATGTACTAGAAACACGAATAATACCTTGTTTTGCAAGTAGGATTCATGGGTTGAGTGTCGTCATAATTCGAGCATGAATTTCGCTTCATTGTTTACGCAAAAACGAAGGAATGTCAAAGACATTCCTTTCTAAATTTGGAGTGCGATGACCTTCAGAAACACATTTTCCCTATTTTTATTATTTCAAGTAGAGTAAAGTAGAGTAATGATAAAGTAATGGCTTCCACGGGGTGGATTTTAAAGAAATTGTAACAGCACCGATTAAGAAACGAGAATTACCTACCGCTCGAATTTCGAGTTTTTTTTTTGAGAGCTCGTTGGAATTTGGTTTTCTCAGTCCGATGTGCACTACCGCAGTAGCGTTTTGGATCTCTTTAGCGTATTAAAGTTGTAGGCCATCTTCACTCCCCCATGTTAAATTCGCAAAATCTTTAGGCTTACTTTTTGGTGAACTATGTCAAACACTGTAAGTCTCACTATAAGTTGAATCATAAGGAAAATTGGACCGGCTCGATTATTATCTGTTTGCCAAATGAGATGAATGTATAAGTTTTGAAATTTTCTGCTATAGTCAGCGCTTTCAGATATGCTTCCTTCTTCAGTGTATGGACAGTTGAGTGATCCGTTGGTACAGGCGGCAGCAGCGGCACTGGCTTCTGCCGGAACAGATTCGGTTATAGGTAGGCCCGGTTCTGCTTGTGTGAATAAATGTTTGTATGAGTGTGTGCGTGTGTTGAAGTAGTGGGGAGTGAGAGATAGGAGAGACAACGAGTGCGCAGGACCCGGTTTGGACCCGTTTTGAGTCACGTGGGTTAATGCCAAGAAGCCTCGTCTCTTTCCTTGTGTGTGGCGAAGGGGGGGGGGGAACAACGCAAGGAAGCGTGACTATTTCCCCCGTGTAGTACAAATGCTGTGTCACTCGTAATAAACCGTCACATTGAATCACAATTCAGGAAGTCGCGATACGATGTTTACCAAAATATTCGTCGGTGGTCTACCATATCATACTAGCGACAAGACACTTCACGAGTACTTTGAACAGTTCGGAGATATTGAGGAAGCCGTAGTCATCACCGATCGCCAAACACAAAAGAGCAGAGGATATGGATTTGTGAGTGTT